TTTTAGGTGGACGTAAGCAAACCAGCCCTTTTGGCGCTTCGGCTGGGACCGTATGCTGAATGTTGGGGAGGGGATGGAGTCCCCGACGGTGGACGGACCACTTCAACTCGGTCCTTAGAACCGCCACAATTTGGTGCTTACCTCAGAACTAAGCCTTAAAGAGAGGACGGGTCCGTCCCCTCTCCAAGGCTTAGTCCTGGGGTGAGCAAACCAGCCCTTCTGGCGGAGCTGCTGGACCAGCTGCACCACTTGCGTCAGTACTCTCCTATCGTACCAACCGAGTTGAAGTAAACCGTCGACCGTTGGGGACCCCATCCCCTCCCCAACATTCAGCATACGGTCCCAGCCGAAACGCCAAAAGGGCTGGTTTGCTTACCTCGTTAGGTCCTCTACTTTTGCTAGGTTCCCCTGCAATATATCTATTGTAGTTTCTAATGTTGTGGATAGTACGGCAAATGTGTTTTGTATTCTCTGTGCCAGTCATAGTGATTTGCAGTCGGATAGTGGAGAATTTGCATGCTTGAAGAAAGGCCTTTCAGCACAGGCTAAAGTCTCTAGATTTTTATCCTAGTAACTTCACATTCTATGGAGATACTTGGTTTGGACCAGGTGTTACAGTTTTTTTCGAAGGGATGGTAACGAAATTCGTGCCACTTTGGGCAGTAAATCAGTGCAGTAGTTCAAGCAGACAACAGAAATCCTTCCCATTCCTGGGTTTAGGCAAAACTGTTCATGCCCAAGGTTACCAGGGAGGTCGTTCAGGACGTGAAGCGCTTTTTAAAAATGGTTTGTTGCGTTTTATAGGGGAATGAGAGGAACTTGGAGGTGAGCTACATTTTTGCTAAACGGCCCTCTGGGTGCAGATAAAGTGGTGATAAAGTGGCCCAATTTTCGATTTCCCGCTTGCAAGTTTTTGCGTTTGGATTTGTGCCACCATATCGGGGCTTGAGTTAGCGTCTTGAGTTCAAGTCGCACTTATGATCAAGGCTATCGGTAGGCCTCATTATTAAGATTTCACCGCAGTTACGCTCCAAATAATTTATTACCGCCCCAAATTATGACTGAACTACCGTGGTTGCAAATGACGCCCAAGGGACGCTGGTGTCCAGCATGGGTATCATACTCGCGATCAGAACGATTGACTACCCCTATAGCCGAAGAGACAGGAAAAATTTGGACTTTAACTTCGAAAGAGTGTGCCGTGGGTAGGTTAGCAGCCCGCCATATATGCCAACGGACGATTTGTAAAGAGCTTCGGGTGGAAATCAACGGCACCTATGGTTAGTTCAGTCTGATAATCGCACGTCGACCGGAAATGGTTACTGTTATTTACGTTCCGCATTACTGAGCGCAAGATCGGCCGTCTCCTGGAGCTGGAGGCTATTGACATGAGAGAAGGAAAGAACGACGCATGCATGCGCTTTTCCTCCGAGTGCCGGCATCCTACCCGCTTGTCTTTGCGCGTGTCTTTCTCAGTCGTTTGTGTCTGTTGTGTAATTTGTAGAAGATTAACTTTATATTAACTGAAAGAACGATCAGGAGGACTCACTCCAAAACTTATCAGCATCACCTGTTGGGCTGGTGACAGATTTCAAATACACTCATAGTAGTCAATTTATCGTGATCATCTCATTTAGTTATTCGATTTGTTCACGTCGCAACGTTCAATACGCAGTAATTCAACAAATATCTCTGCTGCTTGAGTAACTTTTTCGGCTGCCCAAATTTGCAGCGCAGCAAACATATTTTGTCGCCTTTTTGTTTACGAAAAGGATCGTTCAGAAAATTGATCTTATTTTCTATGTTTACATCGCAACTATAACATCAACAACCATTTTGGGAAAACGCTCCACGTTTCTGAACATCGTACTTATTTGGTCTCTGATTCGTCCATTAGGGTGAAATATTGAAACTCCTCTCATTGCTTCTCGCCGAAATATCGCGCGCAAGAAGAAGGCGGTTTTGTTAAGCCAATGCTCTATTGTGCACAATAAGTCAGGCGGAGCACTTTGTAAAAATAAGATTCATAAAAACAAATATAACATCCATTGAGATCTTATTCCATCTCTCTCCTCCCTTACTTACTCTCTCAATAGTGTCTCCTTAAAGCTATTTGTGTACATTATAGAACTTGTCATTGTGACTGATAGGGTTGGACGATGTGATCGGAAACTACCCATAGAAATGCCTTTTCAGGACCGAACATCATTTATTTTTTAAAATCGCACGCGCGATTGTGGAGTGGTACTGAGCGGCCGAATCGTAATCCGAAGTCATCGTCACGCATAATCTCCACGCGGGAATTGTCGTCGTTTTATTTGTTTGTGGATGAAGCTGCCACTGTAGCTCACCTACAACAGTTTCTTCTTATGCGAATCCATAGTCAGTACCCGAAAACGAGCGACGCGTAAGTCTTCACTCTGTAAATAGCAGTCTCTTTTTGGGAGTAGCCTCGCTTAACGTCGATTACTTCAAATTCGCTACTTTATAGGTGTCAATACTCATTAGTAAAATCTTATGGGAATGTAAGGCCGCTCGTTTGGCAATGTTGCAGTGTGCGCGTTCGGTCAGTTAGCTATCGAATTTCCTCTCCAAGTAGTTACCAACTTCGTGAAAATTCGTTTCAGATGAAAACGATCGCTCTGTTGTCCTCCTTTGAAAGGATTTCTTTTTTGTTTTTTTTTTTCATATTTTTCACAATTAATCTCATACAATTCGGAACTGTGTTTCAGAACAGTAATCAGGCTACCCGAGTTGAAAGGCCTCTCGAATAGTACTGCTTACTCAATTGGTACCAAAGAAAGCGACAGCACAATCTATGCCACAGCGTTTCCAGTGCAAAAACTGGACGACGGTTTAACTCTTTCTGAGGTAAGCTGCAATGCTTATTTTGTTGGATTATTAACTCGTTCATGTGCTTAGGAGTCATGATTCGATTACTTGATCTGTTTTGTAGATGTCAGAGAGTGATGCTATTAACCCATTGCTGCCCTCTTTGGGAAGATTGGGGTAGATGATCGTCGTTATCTGTCATTGGGGGTAAACGGGGCTAGAAGCTCCCCAGCGTCAACGGCTCTGATCATCTAATACCCTGAAAAGCTACCCCGTAATGTAGTCGTACAAATACAGGCGATCGCATAAATTTGTTGCCTAAATGGTTGCTAAATACCTGAAAAAATCAAGCCGGCTAAAGGCGTGAACAAAGCCTTTTTATGATGAAATCCCTCAGGAACTCCTGCAAGCACTTCCCAATAGGACAAAGACATTGTTGAAGTGAATGATGTCTATTGTGAAGAGAAAATGGGCCTTTACTGAAAAAAGCAGGAAACCTGCAAAATGATAGACTGCTTTACAATTGTCCTTGAACAAGAGAATGAGGAAGTTTTGTGTGAACCTTCTTTTCCACCCATTACCAAGAATCTGCTAGCACACGGCGGTATTTTTCGAGTAGGTCCGCCTTCTCGTTCTCTATCTTCAAATTTGCAGTAGTACATATTGTTTCCTCTTTCTAAGTTGTTTCTAATAGTTTTGCTGTAAAAGTATCAACACACACGTGCGCGTCACACAATTCATATTACTTTATGTCTCATTTCATCCCAAAACTTATGAAATTCGAATGGGATTGGGTCCATATTGAGTTAGCATGGCCACCTAATGTAGAAAAAGGTTCTCTCCTTCCAAACGGGACTGGTACCGTTTCATAGGCTTTAATGGATGAATAGATTGGTTGACCTAAGCGAGATTCAAATGGGGACTGAACCCTAATGGTAGATGGTACGTAGCGCTATTTGCCGCGACACCAATCATGCCTCAAGCATTTCTTATATGTACGTAATTTACAATACTTCTCAGTCACAAAAGGCTGATTTCAGATTTGCGATAGAGAGCGGAAATCGTTTGTCTCTTTGTTGTATACTGTGGCGCCGTTATCAACAGCATCCGTTTAGTTATGAATTTGTTCTGGTGGTAAGTGGCTTCATTGCCTTCTACTGATTGATTCGCTTAACGCCATTTCCTCAATTGTACTTCCTCAGCATTTCACTGTTTTCCTTTGTTTCCCAGTCAGCTTTTCTCCATTGCATTTTATTGCCTATGTAATTGTTGTGGCCGTTTTGCCCCATTATTTGTCGCTTTAAAGATAGTTGTTTCTCGAGTCTCAGATGAGGGTCCCAGTAGTGCTGGTTGTGGTTGATCGACCGGATGATCACAGGCACGTTCCATTTTCTGGTGATGATGATCACAGGCACGTTCCATTTTCTGGTGATGATGTTCACGTCTCAAAAGTTACATACATACTTAACATCTGGTGATATTATTCATATATTTTATAGTTTGATGTTGTATTTGTGTAGAATTTTCGAGTCAACGTACAGAGTATGAGTTTAATCTACGTCTAGCTAATCGCCCTAGAGAGCACTGATTGCTGATACTGAAATGCCATCACTTACAAATGATTTTTTGATATTTGTGTACATTTGGTGATAGATAAACTAGAATAAAGTCTGTAAGACTAAAAGCGTATTCTAAGAGCGTAAATCTAATTCAACCCTCAAGAGCCGAATGGTACGCAAGTGAACTCGTTGGATCATTTTGATCCGTGTAGATATCATAATTCAAAAGCTTTTTGCAAGAATGCTGAGGTATAGGTGAAACTTCCGCCTGAGGGGGAATCGAGCCCGCAGCTCTAGCTTTCTGGGCCGTTGTGCTACCGATAATACTACCGGGGCACCATTTCACCTGCACTCAATGGTCTATTTACCACAGTTTATTTTGTTAAGGTTTGCCCGTAATTCAGCATTCTTGTGGATTATTCGCAGCGCGATCTGTGGTGTCAAAACGGCAGTTACACAAATGCCATCTTTGTCCTTCTTTTTAGAGCGGCTGAGCCTTTTTTTTAACCTCTCATGCTTTATTTATTTGTTTATTAGATATCGCCAGATATCTATTAGCTACAACAGCAAGGAAAGTTCCGCACAGAATGGAAAGAACTGAGGCACGTAATCTACCTCTTCTACGCTTGACACTTTTTGTAGTGATAAATTTTTCTTAGTAAAAATGCGAACTGGTGGAAAAAGTGACAATCTCTGAATGCATATCATCGTCCGTGGGAATCTAGAAAAAACTTCTGAAGAAAGTCTATCCTTGGGAAATTTAGTTATTTTTGAATTCCATTTTCTTACTTTTTTCTATTCCGGAAGGTTTCATGTGAAGCCCCTCAAGAACGGAGCGAGCATTTCCAACCTTGGTAATGGCAAAGACACTTGATTTGAGCTTTGTGGGAAACGGATCATTTTGCTTGATCACAAGGTACTGAAATTTCTATGACTACAGCTGTTCATCTATGATTCTATTACTAATGCTTATCGGGTCACTTTAGTTATTTCTTTCTTTGATGTTTATATTTTTCGTTAAATCATGACTTTTTGGCGTACGTTGTGGTTCGGTTTCGGCTGTACCATTTTGCTGCAAGACTTCACTTTTTGGCTGACTTTGCTCCATGGTCTCTCAACTTCCCAAAGTCATGTACATGCCAAAAGGAGTCCTGGGGAATTAAATTATCTTGATGCATGCGGTTAGCAGTCGTGTGACGATATCCTGGGAAGTACTAAAAGTTCGCTTATTGTTCATGCTTCAGAATAGCTCAATATAAGCTTTTTTTTCTAATTTGCTCCTAAATGGTTTACAATCGTTATATAAAAGTGGTTTTATTCATGGATATAGGGTCAGAGGGCATTGTGGCGGAATCTATGAAGTGAAATTTGTAGTAAGTTCGACCCGCTGTTTTGTTTGTCTTGCAGGGAGGAGGCAGGAGCTAGCATCGAAGTCACTTCAGTTACGACTAATATATCTTTAGCGCTGCCTAGCTGGTTCACTTAGTTAATATTTTGTGTTCCCTAATTTTCTTCGATGCTCAGATGTGAATTAGCATAGCGCACCTAAACGTACAATAAATAAATAAATAAATAAATAAGCGCCTCGCCACCAACCGGCTAGAGATCTTTCAGTGAGAGAGGACCCTCAGTGAAAGAGATCCGTGGAATAAATAAAAATAAATAAATAAATAATATCAATTCTAGAATGTTGCCCAATTTCACGACAGAGAGAAACAAACACAAGAAGCTAATCAAGTTTTTTCTTGGTTTTTAATTGGAAAGGATTGCACACCGCTTACAAGGCTTCTTTCCTTCGTTAAGGCACATTACATGATTACCTAGGTGTGGTTATAATTCAAAAATAGATTGTAGGCTTGCGAAAATGGAACGCGTAAATATAATAAAGAGAAAATTAAGCCACCAAAACACTGAGGTCGTAAGATGCCGTATTTATTTCAGACATATTGAGGGAAGAAAAAGCGAAACGCAAAACTAGAAGATAGGCATAGCGATGGGGCGAGGGACGCAAGACATCAGTCCATTCACTTCGAGAGAGCGTGCATTGGTGCTTCCCATGTGCGCAGGCGCGCGTTTCAAACCCTGGGTGCTCTCGGCACGCGTTTTCGAAGTGCGTTATTGGAACTATCTCTGCTGCTGCGAAGCCGGAGCTACTTATTCGGAGAATTTCATTCAACCACTGACGAGCTCAACTATAGATAACTAATTTTGGATTAAGGCTAAACTGTGAAAGACAGGGGTGATATCAGTTACTGGCAGGGATGTTGGCTTAAGATTCTTGAATTCTTTGGAACAATCAGAGCAGCGTTTGTGATAAAATCCGCCGATCAACAATTTGAACAACACACCATAATTTTTCTTTTAATGTTCAGGTAACACTGGCGTAGGAAATGAGGTCAATGGAAATTTTGCTTAGAATAGTCGGTCCCTTCTTCACTCGCTCCAGAGCGTATGAAGCTTGATTGCTAAAAAGCTCTGCTTTTTTTTGCAATACAATCAAGCATTCCTGAGAAGGATGAATCTCATGGTGGAAATTGCCTTGCACGGCGCTGGAGCCATCCTTCAACTGCCGCGTGTGCCACATGTTTTGAATATGTTTGTCGAGGCTGCTGTTTTCAACCGTAAACATTCATGTTTTTTCTTCCAATTATTATATGATAAAGGATAAAAAAAGGATAAAGCATTTGCCGTTGATCAATCCCTTTTTGGGATGCGGCACGCATTCTACTTCCATTTGTACATTCGTAGTGGCGTTTGAATGCGATGTGGCCTATACAATGACTTGCGGGGGCCAGCCGATGTACAAGTCAGTGTTTTTATCCTCCCAGACAAGTCTGGTACCAATTAACCGACCCCGGAGGGATGGAAGGCTTGGTTGGCCCGGGCGACTCACGACCCAGGATTTGATCCCGGACCGCTCGCGTGGTAAGCGCGCCACTTGTCACTACACCACTTCCGCCCAATAAATGCCTATGTAAAATAAAATCCTTTCCGTGTTCGATAGATATCAAGAGAAAATTGAGTTTTTTGTATTCCACCGTTATGTCAAATTCCGGAGCTTTGCATGATGAAATAATCACTATTGGGTTTGCATGCATTTATTGTATTGAAGTAAATCTATGCAAACCCACTAGCGATTATTTCATGTTAGCAATTAACATGTCACGGTTGCGTGCCGTCGCGGGGCGGCAAAGCAGGGCAATTTGAGAACGTCAGCAGCACAAAAATGGCACCATAATTCTGCACTCCTTGCCCTCGACCCGTTTCGTACCTTGTATCGCTTTCAGGGAGTACTTCCCAAGTGTGTAGCGCTTTTTTCGAACGTTTTTTCTTGCCATCGTTGTAGGGGATTCACGTGGGCTGCAAATACGAGCATTTCGTTCTCGTGATTGCCGCGTTGAAGGCAAAAAAGATGGTGAGGAAATGATGCAAGGTCCACTTCTCGCGGCCCTGTCTCGATTCCAAAAAAGGATTGGAAAATTTGCTCAGAATGGGTGATTTTACAGCATTGGAGTGATGTATGGGACTTCAAGCGAAGAGTTCTCGATTCTTGGTGATGAAGATAACACGTAGTGTTGGCAGTGGCGTCTTTGTAGAAGCTTTGGGAGCTCGTATCTAAAATGCAGAAGTTTTGTCACTACGGGGGTTTGGGACTTGGACCATTTCCTCACCACTCTTGTCCTTTTTTTGGCCTCGGCGGAGCTGACTTTCAGCCGCAGAATGCGACCTCGGTTTTGTAGACCACGCAAGAGTTCCTGTAAAATGCAGGAAACCGTTTTGAAAAAGCGCTTCGCATAACGAAGAGGACCTCCCTTGTGAGTGGAGCTCCAACTTTCTATCTTGTTGTTTTTTAGCCGAGTTGTTCGCTTGCTTGGATGCTTGGATTTTACTGGTTAAGCTCATAGTAATTTTAGAAGCCGGCTCAGTTCTCACTAGGATGCAGGCTGTAAATATTTGTTGTATGTTTCGACGAACTGGAGTGCGTGTCGTTTAGTCCAGGGTCATCCGTCACGTTTGAGAGAATTCAAAAAATGACGACCCCCCCTTCTGAGAGGCCTCGATACAACCCCCAGGGACACCTACCGTTTGGTAACTTATTTGGAGGTTTTTTACGGACCCCCTCGTGACTTGGTCCAACGGGACGTGTGACCCTTGTTGATGTCAGCAAGCGAGAGTGAAATTTGATAAAAAGGATTAAAGGCATAAAGATTTGCCGCTTTGATCAAAATTTGGGATGCGGCAACGTAATTAACTTCGTATAGCATACTTTACGAAGCATACGATGTACAAGTCAGTGTTTTTATCCTCCCAGACAAGTCTGGTACCAATTAACCGACCCCGGAGGGATGGAAGGCTTGGTTGGCCCGGGCGACTCACGACCCAGGATTTGATCCCCGGACCGCTCGCGTGGTAAGCGCGCCACTTGCCACTACACCACTTCCGCCCAGGAAACTGTGATGGAGAATTTAAATGTTCTAAAAATATCGCCTGGGTCGTGAAAGTACCATTTCCTGAGTGACACTCTACTCAATATGTTGTTGTCGTGAGGTTTATGC